GGGAGCGAGCAGTCAACAGTTTCTGTGAAACCTAAAGACTGTACTAACTTCTTTGTCACAGCAGCTGGAGATGCAGTGCAGTTAATCCAGTTCTGTGCAAAAGTAAATAAAGATCAACAGTGTACAGCTACTAGTGGCTCTGTGAGGCTGTACGTGGGCAAACCTAGGCTATAATTAGCTAAATGCTGACACGTGTCAGTCTAGCTTGTTTGCATTCATTAACATTTTCTAATTAGCACTACACATAAACTACAGCTCAGGCTTATAAGAATGTTATTAGCTTTGTTGATATTTAATCCAGCTATAAACCAAAGTACTGGATCTAGTAAAAAAAGTCCAAGCCATCCTAAGCTAACTGGCTTTAATTTCATGTTTAATTCACAGAGTTGAGTTTGTAGGTTGCTTTGCTTTCACTCTTCATCTGCAAAGTCTGGACACTGCGCTGCCATCCAATCATATGAAGTCTACTGCCTTGTTCTGTTCTTCTACACAGCCTGGGGGTATTTTGGGTCATTATCCTGCTATGGGGATGAACCCCTGACAAGGTTGGATGTCCTTTGTTACATTTTAAAGTTTTGACCCTAAACTTTAGTGTACATGTACAAATTCATGCTTGAAGTCCTGACGCATGATTTGACAACTTTCTTCTTCTTCCTCCACAGCTAAATGAAGGAAGTAAGCTATTGCATCCTCCATCAGGCAAGCTCATCTGTATCAGTTCATTTGGCTTCAGATCTCCAAGACAGAAATGAGCAGCAGAGGAAGAGATACAGATAGTGAGATGGAAAGCAAACTGATGGATGCTGAACTAAATGGCACTCAAAAAAGCATTTGATGGAATGAAAAGGCCCTTCACTGCCACTCTCCACCACTACAGCACCATGCATTAACAAGGCCAAAAACTAAGATCAATACTTCTATTTGCTCTGATTTCCCCAAGTGTATGCCAAACCACATTAGCTGAAAGTGATAGGGAGGGCATTAAGCATAATGCAGCTGCTAGCTATTGGCTCCCAGGGCAGGCAGGGAGAAAAGTTGGAGCTGTAATAAATTCAGTGAATAATTTCCCCTGCCTGCCACAAGCTGTCCCTGAAGGATCTTTTTACCTATGGGATAACCCTCAACTCCCTGCAAGCTGCTCCTTCCCCTGTCATTCACCAGTCTGAGGGTCATCTACAGCCCTCTGCAACTCATTTCCTTTTCTTGTCTTTTCTGACCATGGACTGAGCTTCAGTACTCACTAAAGGAAAGTGCTGGTAATTTGGTGCCTCTTTTTCGCCTTTCTCACTTGAACACGAGACTCAGTAGTAGCTGAATGAATTAACCATGCTCATTAAGAGACTGACATTGTCACAGAAGGAAATAATGGAAGGCTTACCTGCTCTGCATTAGCTCATCTGGGTATATGTGACTAAACTGGGTACTATTTTCCCACTTTTTGCTTGGCTCGGACTATGAAAACAATTTTTTGTAGATGTTGAAAATCACTGCCAATCATCATTATATTATGGGGTAAAAACTTTTCATTTACCTATTCTGTACTCATGAGAGCGATGGGGAGCAGAGGAACCGTGCCCCATGTTTCTACTCGCTGTGTGTCTTTGGGGTTGTGTAGCAACAACTACAGGGTGACTGACTCTGCCACTCTTGCAGGATATCAGTCTGCTGCCAAGTCCCTCCTGATTTGGCTGTAATTAGCAAGGCTGGGCCTTGTTTGTGCATGTGGACATGAATAGTAGCTTGTTATTTGAATGTTAATGGCTGGGTGTATGTGTGTGTGTGTTGTGTACAGCTCATAGTTCACCTTGGAACAGCGCCTCTGCAGCTGTGTGTCCTCTGGAGCAGAGTTTATGTTTATGTCAATAAATCCTCCTGTAATCATGTTTTCGGACATCCATGGCTCACAGCACTACAGGAAGAGACGTGTGAGGACTGTATTTGTCAACACATATGCCAACATACCTTTCGGTGTCACATGTGGCTTTACACCGTTGTCACATCCTTCTTCCTTAGGGTGGACCTTGTATGAAAAAGCTTCCGATTCAAAGGCATCCATGGCAGGAGATTAGGACTAAGTTTGCTGAATAAATGGAAAATAAAACATGAAAAATTATCTCAAGTGACAGGTGAAAAATGAACAGAGTAAAGGTCATAGCTGAAGATAGTCTTTAATGATTTGACCTTGGTGTATCTCCTTGCTAGGACAAAAGTTCACCTGCAAAATGAAGGAACGACAAACAGCATACAGAGAACATGTTAAACCCAGTTGCCATCCATTAAAAGTTGATTTATTCCAGTGCTACTACGTACATTATGCATCATGTGGCAGTGTACACAGAACAATGATTGGGTTACATTTCTTCACTGTTTGGAGTTTCTCCCTCTGGTATTGTTCAGCTGAAGTGTGTTCTGATGCCTGCTCTGTGAGGAAAGCTTTCGTTTTCAGGCTAATAAAAGACTCACTGACTCATCAACAGGATAACATCATGAGGTCCCTTCTTCACTAAAAAATATTGAGTTTTTTTATCCATTTTCTAGTGGAGAAAATCAGGTCACTATTCAATATTGGAATGGCGTTTCGACAAGTCTTGGTTGGTGACAGGTTACGAACTGAAGAAAAGCCTTCACAACTGGATAAAAAAACAGAACCCAATCATACCTCCATCAACAGAAAAGGTCTGCAGATGATAAAATGTTGTCTTTCAATTTGGCAGAATGTGATACCCTTAATATTCCTTCTGTTATTCCATGTCATGCTGTGCATTGCACACAGCTAACTTTAACCCTGTGTTCCACATCTACAGTGTGGTCATATTTACAGGAATCCCTTCTCAGTAAATGAGCTGGGACTCGTGTTTCTTTTTTCCCCTGCTGTCAAATGAAGGTTGAAGTCTTTAACACCAGCAATGTTACATCTCTCTTGGGAAGACACTAACATATGTGACCCTTCCTGGTGTAAGTGACTATTGCACACTGAGTGCATCATGTAAGATGGAGGTTCTCCTGCTTCTTCTTTTCTCTTTGTTTTGTGTTTCCTTCATGTAAACAACTCAGCGGTCTTTGCAGCGGGCCATCTGGGAAGCATCTCTTTGTGTGGGTGACGGATGTTCTTAATGATGACATGTGACAAACGTGGGGCTATACCTCTGAGGTAACAAAGACATGGAAACCTTAGACACAGACAGACAGGTGAGGTCCTAAACAGGCAGACAGTCATCCATTAACCATCCTGACTTTACTGGATGACGCTGATTGAAACAGAGGCTGTGGTGTGAAAACCCCCTTCATAGTGAAAGAGTGGAGAAATGGCTGGAGGTGAGGGCGGTAACAAGTCATGCTTCATCAACTCAAGTTGAAAGGAAAAAGCTAAATATTCTTTCATGCTTGGTTAAGTTGCACTTGTAGCAAAATGAATACGTGTTTAAATGACGTGCTCTCTGGCCAGTCTGGAGCCTGTGGGAGAGTGCACTCACAGGGTCTGAAGTAGACCCGGCTCATCCCCGGGCAGCTTGAGAATAATTAGGATTCAGAAAATAACAATTCCAGTTGTCCTATTTGTTATCTCAAGGGGCCATAAAGCAAATTTTTAGCACTAGCATCTTTTTGGGATGCAAATTATCTACCATTCAAACAACTTTAGGACGACATGCTAGCCTGCTAACCTACTGACTTCCTGATCTGCATTTTGTATGTGTGGAAAAAAAGTTAAAACTCAAACATTTCTCTTTAGAAATCATCATGATGTGTCATACAGCATACCTCTGACATCTAAAATCTTCTGATTTCTTTTCTATCCTAGTGAGTGTGTTTCAGTGTAATTTAAAGACACAAAACAGAGGGCTGCTGTTGTAATATTAAAGGAATAATTTGACATTTTGGGAAATGTGCTTATTCTTTTCTTGATGAGATTATCTGAGAAGCTCACTACCAATGCTATGTTTGTCTTGTAAACATGACACTACCCTTAGCAGCCAGTTAGCATATCCTAGCTTAGCATAGAGACTGAAAAGAGGCAGGAACAGTTAGCCTGCACTAACTAGCAGCCCTAAAGCTCACTCATTAGCAAGTTACACTGTTTGTGCAGTCTGTACGAAAACTGAACAACTCCAGGATGTGATTACATTCATAAAATTTCTGTTTTTGTATGGATTAAACAAATGCAATATGTTAATTTTGTATGGAAGAGGATTAGGGTGACAGTAAAAACATATGACTTTTTTCTCAGAATTCCTGACTTTAAACTCTGAATTCTGAAAAAAAGTCAAGATTCAGAGAAAAAAGTGGGACTTTTTAAATTTTTTTTTTTTTACAATGGTTCTATTCCTTTTGTAATTTTGGGCTGAACATGGTTAGCTGTTTCCTCGTTCACAGTCTATACTAAGACAAGCTAATCAGCTGTTAGCAGTAGCTTCATATTTACAGACTGAGTGGTGTTGATCTTCATATCTAGTGCTAGAGAATAAAGAAGCACATGTCTGAAAATGTTGATGTATTCCTTTAAACTTGCTGAGAGACCAATTCATTGTTCTGTAACAATCAACATTTCACCAGCACTTTTATTTGTATCCTTTCTTTTGTATTAGTGATTTTCCTTCACCTCATATTTTAAACAGGTAATGCATTACAGAAACATATTACTGCAACTCTCTAGGTTGTGCATCTCTAAATCCCTAGTTATCCTAGTAAAAAGAAAAGAGGGAAATTTTAGTACAAAAAAAAACAAAGAAAGAAAGAAACAAATTAAACATAATTAAATCAAAATCATGTAAACTCATCAAGCCATCCAAAGGCGATCGTGTTCCATAGTCATTTTTTCCACAGAACCATGCAAAGGGACAGGGTTAATTTCTCAGTTTGACCGGTGATGTGCGTCTGTGTGGTTGTATACACCAGCAGACCTCAAGCCATGCTGTTATTTGAAGACCTCAGGAAGCTCTAATTAGTGGTGGTGAGAAAGGTAGACTACTACATACTGTATTTCATTGTTGTGTGTATGAGTGTGCAGCATTGAGCTAAAAGTGAACTTGTTCTCTGACAAACACACAAATATTCTCTCATTCCGTCTCACTTTCACTTACTCTCTGAACATTAATTTCTCACTGTGTTAGTAGAAACAAAAAAAAGTTTTCAAAACAATTAGAGTTGCTGTGTAATGGAGGCAATGTTATGCATTACATTAAGACATTTTCTTAAAATTTTTGGAGAGGAATGTATCTGAAAAAGGAATGCAATGCTGTATTTAGACTGTTAACATCGTAAAAAAGCTCTGAAATTAGTAATTAAATAACCCTCTACTATTTATACATTCAGGCACTGAAAAAATCACATGTCAATATGTAACTAAAAAAGATAGTCGCTCTCATTTTTCCCTTGGTAAGAACAAGGAAGCTGAAATCTTGAAGTTGGCAATTGTGTAAGTTTTTCCTACCCAGTAGTAATGCCATATGCATCCCCCTTTGCTTTTCTTTTGTGTGACAGTTTCCCCTCCCCCTTAAGTGCATTTTCAAACACTGACTTGAAGTCAGAGCTTTCTTAGCCTGTCCTAAAGCATTCACATTCACCTATGGGAAAGAATCCATGACACTAGTCTTTTGAAAGGGAAATCCAATGGTTTGTCTTGCTCTCTGCTCCAGACGAACAGATAGACGGACGGATGGGTGGACAGATGTCCTCCATGGCCTCAGAGGGCCAGTAGATGAGCCGAGGCCCTCAGCTCTATAGGCCAACATCCCCCCTTGTGGTTAAGGACTCTCCGGTGTGATAGCCAGCTCTCACCCCAGCGACCCTGAACTCAGTCATTTTTTAACTATACAAGGGCTTTTACAAAAAAAGCTAACTTGAACAGCCATACAATGGCTAAAACATAAACCATATCTCTACTTTATTCCGATTTTTCAGTCATGTTTTAATTTTTTTCCTCTTTTCTTTTTTTGAATGCATGTGTGTTTTTTGTTGATTTAAGTGTTTGCTTGCCTTTCTTTGTTTTTTTAGACTAGCTCTGATCCAGTCCTGTGCTGAGAGGCTCAGTCACAGAGGAACTGGTTTTTGGATTCAATGTTGTGTGGGGTTGGTGGAGAGAGGGACTGAGTAGGAAGGAGAGAGTAAGGGCAAGAATCAGGTCAGGGGTCAAGATATGGGTTCATTATTAGTCTAGACATGGACCTTCCAGCAGTTACAGGGACGGGACAGAATGAGGTGACAAGTTAGTCTGGAGAAGGTGGGGCTTGAAGGTTGTTTGTCAAGGTTATCCGCTATCAGAGGAAGTGTGTGGTGCTGTGGAGGGTGAGCGCCGCCTGCGGGCGGTGGAAGTCCACGATCGCTCAGAGCGTTCAGAGCGCTCTGAGGCTAGTGAGGCGGGCCGAAAGCGGTGAACAAAGCCGTCCAGGAAGTCCTGCTGCTGCTGGGTTATGGCTTGGGAGATGAGGCAGGGCAGCGCCTGCAGGCTGCCCGTCACCGAGTCCAGCTTGTCCTCCAATGTGCCGATGCGCTTGTCCAGCTCCTCACTGCGCTCCTGCAGCTCTGACACGAGGTCATACATCACATTCTGGGTCTAATGAAGTAAAGAAAGTAAATGTGTTTGGGGAGGTGCAAGAACAGGAGGGCAGAGAAGAAAGGGGAGGATGGATTGGCAAGAGGGAAAAAAGCTTGTTTTACAACTTAGTATCCATAAGGAGAAATAAAACTAATGAAATTAACAGAAGAAGTATGTATATATACATCACCAGAGAAATGCCTTAATATAGTTCATCATATATTACATAGGTAGGTAGACAGTCTAAATCTGACTTTGACTGTAGAGAAGGAAATAATGAGAGAAGGGCAGCTGTATAGTTTCACCAAGTCAGCATATATTTTGTCTTCCCACCAATTTATCAACCAGTTTCTTTAGTCCGTTTATAGCCAGAGGCCAACTTAAAAGATTTATATTTTTAGTTGACAGAAATCAATCACAATAATGAAAAGTGTCTATTATTTAGGTACCTGTTTCAATTGTAGACACAGTGCAGCCAGTGTACGTAATATCTACTGTGCATATATTCACACTACGGAAATTGTATTAATTATAATATATCTCAACTCAACTCAACTCAACTTTATTTATATAGCGCTTTACCACAGCACAGCTGACCAAAGCACTTCACATATCATACAAATATAAAAAACAACACATAAAAAGCTATAAACAATAATATAAACACTAACACTACAGACAGAATCTCATTCCTGGTCAAACGCCAATGAATACAAGTAGGTCTTCAAATGAGACTTAAAAGTAGACAGTGAGGGGGCCTGCCTAATATAAAGCGGCAAGGCATTCCACAGGTTTGGACCCACCACAGCAAAGGCTCTATCCCCCCTAGTTTTCCGCCTGGCCCTCAGTGCCTCCAGAAGAAGCTGATCTGCTGATCTGAGGCACCGCGACGGGTTATACGGACGTAAAAGTTCCACCAGATAAGATGGGGCCAGCCCATTTAAGGATTTATAAACAAATAAAAGAATCTTAAAACGAACCCTAAAACGCACTGGAAGCCAGTGAAGAGCTGCCAGTACTGGCGTTATGTGGTCCTTCTTACGCCCCCCAACCAATAACCGTGCGGCAGCATTCTGGACCCTCTGGAGGCGGGCAAGCCCTGATTGACCAACTCCAGCGTACAGTGCATTACAGTAATCCAAGCGTGATGTAACAAACGCGACAAAAACGGTTTTAATTTCACTAACTGCCTTAAATAGAAATATCCAGATTTTACAACCGCATTTATTTGGCTCTCCATTCTCAGATCCGAGTCTATTCTAACACCCAGATCAGTGACCACCGATCGCACATACTGCCCCAAAAAGCCTAAGTCTACAGGAAGAGGGTCGCCAGACGTATTCTGGCCAAACACTATAACCTCAGTTTTAGCATCATTTAACTTCAAGCAATTTAACGACATCCAGGCCCTAATATCGGCAAGACATGCTAAAAGCAGTTGGATCGAGTAGGTGTCTTTTTTAGTCAGTGGCATAATAATCTGGACATCGTCAGCATAACAGTGAAAAGAGACCCCATGTTTCCTAAAAATAAAGCCAAGGGGAAGTAAATACAAAGAAAAAAGCAAAGGACCCAAAATGGAGCCCTGTGGAACCCCAGATAACAAAGGGGTTGTCACAGATTCCACATCTGCCAGTCCGACAGACACTGATCTACCCGATAAATATTCTATTCTAGAATATATTCTATTTTTAGGAATATAACTCAAAAGTTACTATGTATTTCATACCTGTTTAAAGCCCTTTTCAGGTATTTGTGTATCTCAGAATTCAGATTTCTGTCTTGTTTATAACAGAAATGAAAGGGTTAATACCCTATATAGCGTGATAGAGAGACATTGAGCTGCTGCACTACTCTACCATAGGGCATACAAGGATCTGACCATCAAGAATAAGGGCAAATAAACTCACATTAAAGGAGCTGGCCTTAGAACCTTTTAAAATACACACTGGAGCGTAAATGCCATCCACATCAAATGCAGATGCACATCCCTTTGAACCTTCTCCCTGCTCTGCTGTGGTGGATCAGCTGATGTCTATACAGCACAACAGAAACTACTGAGGCATGACTGTATTCACCCTCTTATAGCTGCATACTGTTTACAGTGTGTGGTTAGGCTCAGCTTCCTGAAGCACCTTTCAAAGTGAGTGGATAGTCATGCACTAGGATCCAGGCTCAGATGAAAAAAGAAATGGGCATTCACTTCATGCATACATTTGGCACTGACAAAAAGCATTGTAGTGGATAGAACAGCAAAGTTGCTGACTTGTCCAATATTACCTCTGGTGATCCAGAGCTCAAACAAAATGAAACTGTTGATCTACCCTGAGATGACCTTAAAGACAATGTTTACATCTTTAAGCACTCTGTGTCTAATTGTTGTGTCTTTCAGATTATATATTTAGTTATGGCATTAAATGTACCTGAAACTGTAAAGTGTGTGGTAACATGAAGACTTTGACATGACAAATTTGACCCAAAGGCTAATGTTTAATTAAGGGTGATTTCGTAAAAAGTTCCCTGTGGAGCTTTTGATTAATGCCCAAGTGGAGCAATGTTTCCAAGAGTGGGTTCCCATTTGGTTAGTATGTCGTGCATATACACGATGGCACATGTGAAGCAGAGTCTTTCCAGTAGTTTCACGCTGGTGGTGGCAACTTACCAAGAACAATGTGATAACAAAGGCAAGGAAGAAGAAATGTGGGTCTCAAATTCTTCCACATTCAGCTTTGCTAGTATTTAATGAGGAAGTAAAAGGATTCATTAGTCCTTGAGGTTACATGCAGCACATTTTGGTGAGAAACAGTGAATGTAAACATAAGTTACTCTAGGTTGAGCTTGAAACAAAACAGATTGTCTTGTCTAAATGTGCCTGCTTCAAGATCTTTAGTTTACCTGCTTCTTGATAATTATGTCCTGTTTCTTTGACTTTATGTAACACCCGGGTGGTTGAACCATCATCATACCAAAACAAGGAACTGTATAAGAGGTTTCCATCCATTTATTTATTGTATACAGAGGGCATAAAGAGCAGAGGTCCCAGCACACAACCTTGGGGAACCCAGCAGCCTGAGCGAGAAGCCCATCAACTTCCACTTGCTGGGCCCTTCATAATCACTATCTACTCATCTAAAAACTGTTCTTCCAGTTCTAATAGCCTTTAATTTGTACAAAGAAGAATACTGGAGTCAACTATGGCAAAAGCTTTGGCTGAAAGTTTTAAGACAGTGACACTCATACAATTCATTCATCAAACCCTGCAATAAATATATGGATGAGGAGCTATTTAGATTTATATCATGTCACTTCCTTAACTCAAGCAGATTACTTTAATTTAAACCTGCAAATATTAATTTTGACATTTAGGTATTATCTGCATTAGCAAACAATGCCTCATTTACACATCCAGTGACTGTCATTCCTTTACAGTCAGCAGGATTTAGTGTTTCTGGCTACCCAGTGAAAACTAAACAGAGCTGAAAGATGCTAAAATGCTCCAGAAAGTGTTGAGGGAAGGAACTGCAGACCAAGGAAATAATTCTCTGTGGGTTCATCACTAAAAACAACCCCTTTCTCATTACACGTAATCACTTGATCCACTGCTGATATTAATTATTGATTAGAAGGATTTAGTTAGTAATAGACTTTATGTAATTGACTGATTAGTGTAAAAAGATACAAGATGCTGACTGACCTTTGCCAGATCCACCAAGGTGTTGGCTTGATCATTGAGTTTCCTCTGCTCCATCTTCACACTGCGCAGCCTGGGTGGGGGCACAGGGAGGTGGGAACAGGCAGAGGAGGCAAAGAGAAAGAGGTGAAGAGGAGGGGAACAAGGAGGCAAAGAGAAAGGAAGAGGAGGGGAACAGGCAAAGGAGGCAAAGAGAAAGAGGTGAAGAGGAGGGGAACAGGCAAAGAGGAACAGAACAAGGGAAGAGAGGGTAGGAAGGCATTTTGCAGGAGTGGAGCATAGAGAGATGGTGTTCAGGGTCATGAAGGGGCAGAAAGGGCCAGAAGGGAGGAAAGAAGGAGGAGGAACAACAACACATTTTAATCAGGAGTGCTCTCTTACTGATGACACTGAAAGAGAGAGAACAGCCTGCATGCATCCTAAATATATGTACTATACAAATCTATATGTACACACATATATATGTATATATAGATATATAGATATATATATATATACACAAGCATTCCTGGTCTTGGTCAATGCAATACCAACCAAAACATGCAAAATTGAGGAAGCATACTACGCTTATTTTGAACAAACAAATGTTTGTAATATTTAATCAGGGTCCTTTTCTTATAACACAATTTTTTTCCTCATAATGGTGCGAAGCTTTCAGCAGCACTTTTTAACATACTTTTTTTTTTTTACTTCAATGAAAGAATGTTGACACTGAGATGATCTTGTTACAACCCAAAAAGAATCTGTCTTGAATAAGAGGAAAACAATTTCAATGTTATACTGAAACCATATTATTAGTCTGACAAAACATGGTGTTTTTTCAGCAAAAGTGCAATATGCTTCCATGTAAGAAAACCTCAAAATGTATGTTTGAAATCAAAACATTCTCATCTCTTTCCACCCAAAAGTAAGACATTAAAAAAACAGGAAAAAGATGACATGCCCTTTGTCAGTGCTACACACAGCTCAGTGGTAGGACTTCATATATAAACACTGGGCATTCAGTAAGCGTGCAGGGACTGTGAGTGACTTTGTGCACAATGAAACGGGAGTCTTTCAGAGCTGGATTGTGTATGTGTGTGTGTGTGTGTGTGTGTGTGTGTGTGTGGATGCCACAGATAAAAGATGAAGCTTGCCAGAAATAAACTGTTTAATGACACTGCTGAACATAACAGTGACATGGACGTTTGAAGTAACTTGCGCAATGATACATTGGCCGTGTTTTGTGATGCCTTCAACATTGTGCCTCCTTAGCTCTAATCAAATATATTATGGCACTGTAAAAACGTATCGCTGATGTGAATAATGTGTCTTTGTTAGCGGTGGCATCACACAGCCATTATCTGGATGTGTGAGAGGAAGAATTTCCATGTTTGGCAAATTATGAGACAGGATGACATTCAAGGGCATTTATTCATGTGCAAATCAGTACATCAGAGCAGAGTGAGAATGCTCACTTACGGCTCTCTCTCTGTGGGAAACCATGCCGGCTTGTGTCTACTGGCTTGACTTTGTTATCCCTTATGGCTGTTGAAGAATGGAGCTAATAGCTACACATGCTACTTATTAGTGTAACGCACTGCAAGTACAGATTCATTCAACCAACCCTGAACCGCAGTGTCTTTCTGAGCTATGTCATCATTGTTATGTGCAAGCTTTGTTGTTTGATCTCTTATTAAAAAAAGGAAAATACAAGAAAAAAATCAATATTAAAACAGCAAACATTTTCAATCTCATTAGAACTACAGTACATTACAGTGTGTATGTTCATGTCATCACAAAACCATCAGGAGTGTAGGATGAGTTCTGCTGATGCAGGTTAATATAGCCTGCAGAGCAGCTATATTAATCATGGGCAACATTATACGGTACATTGTAGATGATTATGAACTGCTGGCCAGGCCAACAAAGCTTCAAGCGTGTTGTGTGCAAGATGCTTTTCAGTTCACACATTCTCTCCAGACAACCCTTCGCTATTGACATCGGTGGCAAAATGTTGATGCTTTTTAAAAAACTTTTTTCAATTCAAGGGACAATGGGAAGGAGAGGGAAGTAAATGGAACACTGAAGTAAAGAAAAACAAAAACAATTCAGCATCTAGCATTTTTTCCTTTTCTTTTTTAAGGGGGTTGGTGGTGGGGTTTTTTCATGCATGTCAAACGCAGACATGGAGAGAGGAGTAGGAGGATGTTGGGGAAACAGTAGGAGGAGGAGGATACATAGAAGACTTACTTCTGAGCTCTGCAGTGATAGAGCAAAACAAAGACAGAACACAGTACAGAGTTTTAACCCCACAACATTCACGAAACGAGTGAAACCATTACACTTCTCACTGTAAGCACGGGGTTAAAGGGGGTTGGAGGGAGAAGGGGGCAGGGAGGGGAATAGGAAGGACAATTACACTAAATCACAGTGTGCTGGCTTGTGTATGTTCATGTGTGAGCATAATCAAAGGAAATGATTCTCTAGGAGGAAACTGTAACAAAAGCTAGAGGTGATACAACCACATTTTCACAGCTACAGCTACATTTAATCTCTTTAATAGCAATACAACTAGTGAGAATACAGCCAAAATATTTTGTACCACAAATATAATTATGAGCAATCACATGGACTGAACATTTTACGAACTGTTTTTTCTAGCAAAGTTCTGAGCATGTTCATCGATTCCCCCTTTGACACTTGGTAGCAAACAACTGTCATATATTTTATTAAACGTTAGAGTAGAAAAAATGCAGTGCAGGACTTACTGGTGAATGGCTTGGAGAAACTTGCGCTGGTGTTTCCGCACCTTGGCATGATCTATCTTTTTGACCAACTTGGTGTGTTTGTAGATGAGCCATGTTTCCCTGAGTACATTGGCAGCTGTGTTCTTTACCTGTGAAGGAAGGTTGAACATGACGTGTGATGTTAACACTGAGCTCTTTAAATGGCCACACTGCTGTGGCATAAAGTCAGACCACCATGATTAATAATAATCACTGGAAGGGAATGAAAACTACAAAAAAAGCTGAATAGTGGTAAGTAAGCAAGTTTTATTTATATAGCAATTTTCAAAACTTGCATTACAAAGTGAAACACAAGCCCTTTTCAGACCTGCATTGGAAGCGTGAAATTATCTAGACATTGCACAGAGAAACTGTATGTAAAAACGCAAGTGTACAGGTCAGCTGACTCGGACCTTTGGAGGACATTACCCTGTCAGCTTTCTAATACAAAGTCCCAGTGAGGTCTGAGTGAGCTGGAGTTATCCCATGTGAGAATATAGCAACATGTACTCACACTGAGACAGCAGGTGTGTTGATGATGTTCTATCATTTTATTGTTCTATCAAAAAGTTTTAAAAAAATGCACCTGCACATATTGTAAATGACTTTTCAAAGCTTTTTTAAATGTGACCAAAACTCAGTAGAGTAAGGGAGTTTGCAAGTTTATAATCGCAGCAATATTATGTAAGATAACAGTATTAAGGACATTTGCACTGATAATATAAAGACACCCTGCAAACCAGTGGCTCCGTAAGCTGAGCTTTTCCCTCTCAGATTTTACTTTATTTTTCACAGTTTATCTCTGAATGGTTTTAGATTGTTGGGTGCCAGAGACGGACACTCAAATTGGCGACTCATAGGTAAGTAGACATCTGACTGGCCTTGCAACTCGTCCCTAATTGACTCCAGACTCGAATAATGACTCGTGAACCTTAAGAATCGTTCAAAGATTGGCAAGGCACCAGACATTTCTGTGGTTTTTTTTTTTTGTGTGTGTGTGTTTTTTTTACAGCCAGACGTAATCTTTTAGTGCATCACAATGTGTCTGCCAAATACAGGAGTGTAACATGTGACACCCAAACATCACACACAAGGCTCTGTTGGTGATGGGATTGATGCCAGATGTTGTAGCCTCTGCATACAGAAACTTCTAAGCCCTGGGCTTAACAGAAAATTTGCTCTGTTAGAAAGATGTAAAAAGAAAAAACAAAAAGACACCAGGTTGGACGCATCCAACATCATAAGGCACATGATAAGTCATCTGGCAGGTCAGTTACAGATTTATCTTGAAGCATTAGCGTTAACATTGCTATTTTTGTAATGTCAGATGTGTTGGCTGTTGCTAGGCTCATTGCTCTCTGCAGTGAAATAATTCTTAGTAACGTGTAACTTTATAGCACCGTAAGCATCTGGAAATACAGACTTCTAGCTCGCAGTGCCTCTGGTTCATGTTTTGCTAAATTGAAAATCACTTAGCATGCATAATAGCTGTCAGATGATGTGGTGTTATATTGTGGCATATTACAAGGATGCAAAAAGCTAAGAGATGAATCTAAACGTTTTGCCATCTCTCCTCCAGTTTGCTGTCCTGTATTCAGTTTCCGTATTTACCTGTCGGTTCACAGAATTCAACAAGGAAGAAAGAAAATGATTCGTGGCAGCTCAGAGTGACACGGCATTAGATATATTACACTGGAAACAATAAAGAGTTGAGCCTTGACTTAAACTCCTACAAGAGAGACTTCAGACTTGAACCGGACCCTTACTCAGACTTCAGACTTGCAATTTGTGTCACATGAACTGTTCTCCCTGTTGAGTGCTTGGACTCATGCTTGTTGGACTTGGTTAAGTCTACTTCTTTAGGTCTCTAAAAACCATTTAAATTACACAGCAAACATAGAAAATCACTATTTGGTTGAATTTCCTACAACATATATCCATATGTAACATGTTAGAAAAGGTCATAAGCAGACAAAGTGTTGTAACAAATCACCTTCTTGCAAACAACAATATATTAGTTACTTGAAATGCAGTGAAATGGAATGACTCACTCGTTTGCAAAGTTGCGTGTCCATCATGAAGTTGTGGACATGCTTCTCAGCCTTGGTCAGCTCCAGCTTCCTGGCTACCACTGCAACCACCAGTGCAGTGCAACCAGCTCCCTGTTGCACAAAGACATGGTCGAACAAACACAGCAACATTTTGCTTGTGCGATTTCGATATGCAGTCTGTTGACTTTAGCACAGCAATACAAATTTTTACTAATAAAAAATGAGCTCCAGTAAAGAGCAGCTTATGTTTGACACCTTATGCCAAACAACAAATGCTTCCTCTTTTCTTGGAATGTTTAACTATGAACACCAAGTTGCATTTGGCTGGTTTCACTTGCAATTTTACTGAAACCAGCTAAAAGAACAATGAAATGGTTTTTGATATGAACAACTATGTATCAGACAATTTCAATTTACCAGTTAAGTATTACGAAACAATTAAAACAAGTTGGGTTCCAGTTCATTATTTGAAATCATCAGGGAGGTGGAGTACATGAAAACATATGCACCAGTGTGTGTGAAATATAGTACATGTTGCCTAGGCAATGAGTTTAATCTGTATGCTAATAACTCTGTTATTAAACTGTCAACAGCTGGTTCCATGGAGGGGATGAAGGAGGAATGAAGTGAGTTTAAGTCATTATTTTTACAATTTCACATTAAATTATTTCAGTTTGGACACCTAATGTGGTTTCTGGTTCTTCAGTAACACTCTT